CTGTTGTCCAGAGCTCCCCTGAGAGAAGCAAGCTTACAAGAAGATGCAGTGAACTCATTTGTCAGAGCAGTCATAGAAAGCTTCCCAGCTTCGAAAACGAAACCGGACGAGATCAAAATGGAACAGGGCAATGATGAGGTTTGCCAGAAAGTTAACAGCTACTGCAAATCTGGATGCTGGCCTGATTACTGCAAGAAAGACCTAAGGCTGAAGCCATTCTGGACTGTGAGTCATGAACTTACCATGGCCCATGGACTACTCCTTTACAATGCAAGGATGGTGATTCCGACATCGATGCAAAAGGAAATCCTACGAAGAATCCATGAAGGTCACCAAGGAGTTGTCAAGTCTCGTGCATTTGCCAAGTCTTCAGTGTGGTGGCCAGGAATTTCACACCAGATCGAAGAGGAAGTACGGAAATGCTCAATCTGCGAAAAACACAGACGGCTATCACCATAATTATTTGTTGATCGTCGATTATTTCTCCCGATGGATAGAGATAGTCCTACTCAGAAAGACAACGTCGTCAACTGTGGTTGAACACTCAAAGTGCCAAGTATGGAATACCAGAGATTGTCATAAGTGACAACGGACCTCAGTTTGCTTCATATGAGTTTGCAAACTTTGCAGAAACATACGGGTTTGAACATAAAACGAGCAGTCCAAAACATCCACAAGGGAACGGCGAGGCTGAAAGAGCTGTACAGACAGTGAAAAATCTTCTTCGAAAAGCAGATGACCCCCACATTGCCATTCTCAACTATAGAGCAACGCCACTCAAACAAGGACAAAGTCCAGCAGAACTTTTGCAAGGAAGACAGTTGAGAACCAAATTACCTAGTCTGCCATCTCAACTGAAACCTCAGGGCCGGAAGCTGAAGCAGTTTCGTTCTGTTGATAAACACATGAAGAACCAGCAGAAGAACTACTTCGATAGAAGGCATGGCGGTAAAAGACTTCAGAATTTCGAACGAAACGAAACTGTCTGGATTACAGAACCTAAGCTTGAAAAAGCATCAATCCTCAAACCCTATCAATCAAGAGGAGGAGATGTACATGAGAGGTCTTATCTTGTTGACACTCCAAGAGGGATGAAAAGACGAAATCGATCCCATCTACGCAGACGAAGCCTTGGTCCGTGTGATGAAAGGAAGTCAACACATGTGGCTACATCGCTGATCTCAACTCCAAGAGACAGGCTAAGTCAAACAGATGACAGACACCCTCCAGACAATGCTGTTATCGGAACCAAGTCAGGTGGTAATGGCAACAACAAATCATCGTCGTTGCCTGTGACTGCACCCAGGTGTGCATCACCACCAATGCAACACACCCATAGTGAGCAAACACAAACACATTACACAACACGAAGTGGCCGAGAGATTAAACCTCCACAAAAATTAACACTATAGGGTCGATGTCCTACAGACATACATGCTTTTGCGTGTAACAGAAATTGGCCTTTGTTAAGATGTGTAGCTATACAGCACTCTGGTCACAACAATTGCAACATACATTAAAGATTAGAAATTTTGCATACACATAAAATGCATCAGAATGCATTCACAGGTGCATTAGACATGCATCCTATTTCAAAGAATTTTTGAGTTTTGAAACATACACATTTAGGTGGAATTTCATACTCGTCTACTGAATGATACATGTACTTTAATTACAAAAGCCCAACACAAGGACATTTGATCAGTGGACATTGGATTTGTGAGGCACGGTTAAGCTGTTTCCCACTTATAGCTAGCTGACCAAGAAGTCTCAAGTTCAAGTTCTTGCTTTTATGCATCTACAGAAATTCGATGTCCGTTTTTCTGTTTGATCTAATTTTTTGTTTTATTCCTTTAATTTTTTAAAGTATAAATACTCTGCAGAGTCTATCCTCTCTAAAGAATGTAATTGTAATGAGTGTCTTCTGTTCCAAACTCAAGAAAGAGAGATGTGGTATAATCAATTAGCCAACCTGGCATTGTATTAGACAGCTACAACTGGTTGTACTACTCGAAAAATCTGGCTCGGAGTTGGCCTGCTAAACGCAATGATGGCTGAACGTTTAAATCTGTTCCTTTGTACAGACCGTTTTTTGTAACTTATTGTAAGTGACTTAAGTTACCCCGAGTGGCCTAAGTAGCCCCAGTTGACGGTAGGTAAAACACCATAGATTCTACTTAGGAGGAAGCACTGTTAGCAATTTACTTTCTCGCGTTTAATTCCGGCCGCGCTCTAGACCTACATCTAGACAAAAATCTATGCATCCCCAACTGGATATTTCTGACATTTCATTCTCTTCTTCTTCTTCTTCTTCTTCTTCTTCTTCTTCTTCTTCTTCTTCTTCTTCTTCTTCGGAACACTTTAACACTGTCAACAAAACACTTCAGAAACCATCACTCAACCTGGGAATCGACTCTGCTAAATTTTGGACAATTATTTGTCATTTCATCCCAGATGTCACAGACGGTTGCAAACGAAGGGCTTGAATTAGGGCCAACGTCAATTTTCTTCAGCTGCTGTTTCATGGGATATAACATACCTGTAGGATTCATATCGGGCTATTTACTGGTGACCACTCCAACGTTGATATGGTATAGTTTTCCAAGAACTGTCTCCTGATAATATTGGCCCAATGAGAAAGTGATTTACCATGAATGGAGACGTCTACTTGAATGACACCATGATGGAAATAAGGGTAAGACATGACATTCCAACACTTGCGTTGACTAAAGTCAACTAAAACAAGCCATCCGATGATTCACATGTGGACGATTTAGTTCATTCCGTCCCAGACCTCCCAAAAAAATGGCAGTTTCATGGACTCTGCTCCTCACTGACAGATGATTAGTCCAAAATCTAACTTACACACCCATGTGCTAAAAGGTTTGTGCTCTACAAAAACACCAATAGCTCCTAAACAAAGGTAAAATCATACTAATGAACACATTCAGTGTTAAGTCTAAGTGTTATTTGTAAGTAATCTGTTTTCGAACTGATTCATCTATGCCATTGAGAAAACGATAGATACTGCCATCTCTGGTTGATTAAGGAGGAAGCATTGTTAGCAATTTACTTTCACCTTCTGCAGACGAAGCAGTGGGTCTATTTATATCCCCCCGACCCACTGATCTAGATCAGATTAAAAAATCTTTCGATGAGTATTGCATTGGCGAAGTCAATGAGACATTTGAATCGTACAAATTCCACAAGAGGAACCAGAAACAGCACGAAACTATTGATTCTTATGTCACAGAGTTGCGCCAACTGGCAAAACGCTGCAATTTCGTTGAAGAAGATCGAATGATTAGAGACAGGCTTGTCATTGGAATACAAAATGGAACAGGGCAATGATGAGGTTTGCCAGAAAGTTAACAGCTACTGCAAATCTGGATGCTGGCCTGATTACTGCAAGAAAGACCTAAGGCTGAAGCCATTCTGGACTGTGAGTCATGAACTTACCT